CTAGAAACATGGAGAAATAGACAAGACACATAAACCTACACCAGGGCACCTCAACAAATGGCTCAAAATCAGTAATGAAGAGAAAATCTTAAAAGTATACAGTATTTTTTTTTTTTTTTCTGTGTGGGGCCTGAACTCTGGGCCTGGGCACTGTCCCCGAGCTCTTCAGCTCAAGGCAAGCGCTCTACCACTTGAGCCACAGAGCCACTTAGCATGCAGTATTTTAAGGTTAATTTATAGCTGTTAATACCTTCATTACAATAGAAATAAGCTTCAAATCAGTTTCCACTGATTGTACCTTAAGAAATTGTATTTTTTATATTACTAATAATAAGTAATCAATATTTTGCATAGTAGGAAAAGGAGAGCAAATGAATCCCAAAGTAAGAAGAAAGGAAAAAAAAGATGAGAAGATAAATTAATAAAGTAGAATGCAAAATCAATGAGAAGATCAGTACAATTGATAAATGATGCTAGACAGATAAGTGAAAAAATACAGATCATGTAGGCTTTCTGAGAGTTGATGAGAGAGGCGATGACCTAGAGATTCTTCAGTTATTGGAAAGTAAAGACATACTTGGAGCATCTTATGCCAAGTTAGAGAAATGGACAAATAGTTTGAAAGGCAAAACCTATTAATGCCTTCTCAAATCTTGTGAGAATGCTACAAATAGTCTTAAAAACAAACTGCAGCAAGAGGACCTCACTGTCAGTTCAGCCAGATAATTAAGGAGAAGCAATACCAGGTACATAGAGACTTTCCTAGAAAATTGAAGATGTAGGAATACTTGTCAATTCATTAAGACCAACATTATCCTGTTACCAAAACCAGGCAGAGATATTACATGAAAACTACAGACCAGTGTCAGGCCTGAGCACCAAGGTATACATTGTAAAGAAAAATTCAACAAATGAAATATGTCAAAGGAGAATACATTGTGACTTTGGAAAAGCCAGTCAATGTTCTTTGCTATATTCACATGCTGAACATGCAGAGAAAGCATATGACAAAATTCAGCATCCATTTTGGATAAAAATCTTGCAGTAAATGAAGCTTTTTAGTGGAATGTTACATTGTTGCCCCATGCCTAGGTTTTATACTTTAGAAATAAAAGAAATAAGCTCACTGTCTGGTCCATGATTCTCCTGCCTGCTTCCGCTCAGACTCCTGCATTACAATAGCAGAGAAGCAGGAAGAACTGGCAGCATGGTAAGGGGCCAGCTGAGCGCAGGCCTGTAATCCTAGCTACTCAGGAGGCTGAGATCTGAGGATGGCAATTCTGAGCCAGCCTGGGCAGGAAAGTCTGTGAGGCTCTTTGTTCCAGGGATCCACTCAAAAGCCAGTAGTAGATCTATGGCTCAAATGGTAGTGCTAGTCTTGAGCCAAAAAGCTCCATGCACGCCCAGGCTCTGAGTTTAAGCCTAAAGACCAGCATACACACAGTCCCCCCAGGTTTACTCCCCCCAAAACAACAAACCTACTCTCTAGATTTCCTGTGGAAAATATTAACCCTTTCACAAAGGCAGTCTGCCCTCTCCCGCCCCATGCAGTCAGATTCCTCCGAGACGCCTCGCTTCTTCAAGGTGCCCCACACCACTCTGCCACCCGCAGGTGCAGGGTCCTAGCTGTCGGCACACGTCGCCCACGGCCACGCTCAGACTCAGACTATCCACACCGTTCCGCTTACCGCTTTGCATAATGATGTTAGTTAGCGCAAGTGTTAAAGTTTTGCAGAAAATGTGGTGATTGTCTTCATTTTTGCACTGACAATTGAATACTTTAGGACTCCCTTTAGTTTGGAGCTTTTCCTTAGAGGAGTTGCTTTTTAACAGGTATCCGTGTAGCACAGAATCTTATGTACTGGATGCTCACCCAATTTTATGGATTCCTCATCACTAAACTCCACAGTGGGAAGTCAGAAACGATTGAGAGGAATGTATGATACTTGCTTTAGGGATGTCTGTAAACAATATGAGTGAAGAGTTTAGGAAATGCATCTTAGAGAGTGTGGCAGTACCTTTTCTACGCTCAGGACGGCGTGTCGCTGAGCTTGCAGGCTGTCTCTGGAAGCCCTTCTTGTGAGGGACCACTGTACTCTGATGCATTTAGCACAGCACCTTCTAGCTTAGGTAATTAAACAGTAGGTCTTACATTCTGTGGAAGGACAGAGACATTTCACCGGACTAAAACTATCTTGTGTAAACTGAGTATAATCCTTGACGTAACGACCTTTATCTTTTATATCACAAATGCTTTAAAACCGGCACTTCTTATTTTTCTTTTTGTTCCGTGCCTGTGGCTTGAGCTGAGGGTCTGGGCACTGTCACTTTGCATTTTTGCTGACATTTATAGTTCTATCACTGGACTGCCTCTACTTCTGGCTTTTTTAGTCTGGCTTCGAACTATGATCCTCAGACCTCTGCCTCACGAGTTGCTAGGATTACAGGCCTGAGCTACCAGTGCCTGACTCATTTCTATATTTTCTGTTTTTGGTCCAAGTCTGGGACTTGAACTCACTACCTGATGCTTTTGCTGATTGGTAGTGCTCCACCTAAAGAAAGAAATATGAAATCATAGTTCTCCTTATGAAGGGTTAACCCGGAGGTAACTTACTTGGAAACTCTCCACAATGTGATGCAGTAAGGCAGTTCACACAGGGCTGTTTGTGACCTGCTTGAGGAGCACAGCTTCAACCAGACCTGTTCATTCTTTCTCAAAAGTTGTGTCTGTGGCACTTTTGCCCATAGCCTATTGGAGTTTGGGGAGACTGTGAGGGCTAGTGACCAAAACCAGGAGCTGATAGACCTGGCAGAAAGGGAGATGAAAGGAAAAGCCACAAGAAAGCCCGGTGACTTGAAATGGTAGCACTTTGGTAGGAGAGCTAATGGCGTGGCATGCTAGTTGCCTTTAGTGACGTTAACTAATGAAGTAGAATATCATCAAATGTGTATTTTGTGATAGGCATTGAATGGTGGTTATATGTGTATTATTTTATTTGGCACCGAGCAACAGCTAGAGACATGTCATCGAGCCTCATTTCGCAGAAGTTCCCGTGACTATGGTTGTCACAGGGAAGTGCCTACAGGACCTGAGCCACATTGATTCTTAGCCTGCGCAACCTTCCTGCACAGTAAACTAATCACCTCTGACAACCCTGTAACTAACGGGATTGAAATAGTCAGCTGTCATTTTGTTTTGTTTTTAGACATGTTCCTACTGTGTTGTCTAGGCTGTTTTTAAGCTTGTGATCTCAAGAGATTTTCTTGGTGCAGCCTCTTCAAAAGCTGGGCCTGCTAGTATGTACCACTGTACCTGCCTCTAGCTTTGTTTTTCTCTTTAAGGTAAGGAAGTATGAAAGTAGTTTAGGACAATTGTTACTTTAACAAGGCCAAATTAGGTTTCCACTAAAAGATGTTAGGACATTGCTTTCTTTTCTTTTTTCTTCTTTTCCTTTCTTTTTCTGTCACTCATGGGGCTTGAACTCTGGGCCAGAGCACTATCCCTCAGCTCTTCAGCTCAAGGATAGCTCTCTACCACTTGAGCCACAGCACCACTTCTGATTTTCTGGTGGTTTATTGGAGATAAGAGTTTCATGGCTTTTCCTGCCTGGGCTGGCTTTGAACCACGATCCTCTGATCTCAGCCTCCTGATTAGCTAAGATGACAGGCGTGAGCCACCAGCGCCCGGCTAGGACATTGTTTTTTGAAAAGTTTTGTAAAACATTTTGTTTCTTGCAAAGGTAAATATATATTGTAAATTCATTAAAACTATCCATAGTTTTTATAAAAAGGACTCTAAACTGGTTTTATTAATTGCCTTTTCCACTAAAAGGAGCAAGTCTCCTAACATAAGTTGTGCAAGTGCTAAATTTGTTTGTTTAGTTAGCTCTGCACAATTCCAAAAAGGTGGGAGCAGGTGTAGAGCAGGTGTATTGATTTGTTGAGGGGGAGCCCCCATGCGCTGCTGCTCATGGAGGCTGCCCACAGCTGATGTCAGCGCTGTGAGCAGAAGTGCGGTGTCCCTTGTTACTGTGTCTCTGGTGCTCTGTAAATGAAGGTGGAGAGAGAACAAATTGGAATTACATGTCAAGTGAACTTACATTTAACTTTTATCTCTGACTCTCAACTGATATGCTTCTTTAAAGATTATAGCCATCTTTCTGAAATACAGTTTTAAATATAAATGTTCTACCTGTAAAAATACAAGTTTGCCTAAATAGTTTGTCAGTGACATGCCTGAAACCTTTTTTAAAGCTGTTCTTTTAGCTGTCCGTTTACGGTAGCGCTACAAAAGATCACAGAATGACCCCAGAGGGAAATGGCGGTGTGAATTTGCTTGCCTCTTTTCCTTTTTTTTTCCCCATTTGGAGTTGTTTGTTAAGATTTCTGTGAGTATTGGTTTTAAATCCCAAGTGCAGAGTCGGCTCAGCCACATCCGTGATCTGTGGCCTTTCAAGAGCCAGCCTCTGCCCTGTGCCGGCCGCCCAGGGGCTGCGGAGATGAGTCAGGGGTTCAGGGAAGGTCTGCAGGCCACTTAGGGAGGGCTTGGCCTAGACTCAGTAAACACTAGTTATTCATTGAGCTTTTAAATAAGGCTTAAATTAAATGAGATTATGCATATATGGAATGTTTGACAGAGTGTCTGGAATTTAATAAGAACTCAATAAATGTTAGTGCTTCTCATTTAAATATTCATATAAATCTGAAAAGCTGTGCCTTTGGATTTTTGCATAAGTCATATATTATATAGTTCATTTATGTTAGGGCATGAAGAAAAGGTAAATAGTTTCTATATTGGCTTTTCCCAATAGTACAAATTGCAAAATTAAAATCATTTAAAACAAATATATAATTACTGTCTAATTTCTCAGCTTAGGCTACTTGTCATTTCAGGTGTATGTTTGTTTTTTATTATTAGAAAGCGTGGATCTTGTTTGACATCCCAATTCAGAGAACTTTGACAAGACCTGTAATATTTGCCCCCGCTTTTCTTTTCATAGGCCTGTGGAATCTTGCTTCGCTCTTTTCCAACCTTTGTTTATTTGTGTTGATGCCCTTTGCTTTTTTCTTTCTGGAATCAGAAGGTTTTGCTGGCCTGAAGAAGGTAAGTAAATTGGGTTTGGAATTGTATTTGTTAAATTAGGAAGTAAAAATATTATTCATATTTATCTATCAGTATGTTCAATACCCTTTAATAGAACATGAGAAGTTGAATTAAAAATAGTAATGTTAATAACACATTGTTGACAATAATGTTAATAATGTGGTCTTTTAAATTATTTTATATGCTCATGGGGAGAATCATCATTTTTTAAATTCTGTTTTTGATGCTTGAACTCAGAACCTGGCTGTCTCTGAGCTTCTGTGCTCAAGGCTAGTGCTCTACTGCTTGAGCCACAGCTCCACTTCCAGTTTTTTTTTTTTTTTTGTGGTTAGTTGGAGATGAAAGTCCCATGACTTTCCTGCTCAGGCTGGCTTTGAACCACAATCCTGAGATCTCAGCCTCCTGAGTAGCTAGGATTAAAAGCCACTGGTGCTAAGCTGGAATCATCTTTTAAAACTATGATATGTCTCAATCTGGTGAGGAATCTTTTGTGAGAGGAATACACCTGATACTATTTCTTAGGATAGCTCATTTAGTTTAGAACATATGTGAAAGCCCCCAAATCTTAAACATACCCCTTGATGGAAGAGCTCTGCGCAGCTAGTATTTTTAGGATAGTAGCACATTATAGAATTCTGTACTCCCAGTTAGGGAGTCAGACGCCCCGATACCGAGAGAAGCAAATCTTGTGTAAAGGTAGAAGCGTAGACTAGAAGTGAATCAGCTGAGGATGTGATGTGGATCAAGGCCTCACAAGAAGCAATAACAATCTAGTACTGATTTGGGGCAAAAGAAGCACAGTCCTAGCTTTGGCCTGCGCGTCTCTTAGCCATAAGTTTTTTGGATGTAATGGAAAGCTTTAAGTCGTTAATTGATTTTCAGTGGCTTTTAAATTTGACAAAGATATTCTGCCTTTTGGATTTTTACTTCCTTTCATGTAATATGGAGTGTAAAATATGCCCATATATTTTATTATTGAATAATACTACGATGCCAATTATGTCCATGTGACTTGGGAAGTTGTAACCATATGTGCGTTGTTTCTTCATATTTTCATTATTTATTACTTTTTGGTGGTGCTAGGGTTGAACTCTGGGCCTTGCACTGGTTAGACAGGTGCTGTACTACTTGAGCCAGGCCCCCAGTCCAGCCCTCTTTAGTTCATGTAGCTTTTACAAAATAAAATACACAATGCTTCATGAGTTTTCATGTTATCCTTGTGCAGGGGCCATTGTAGTCTTTGCATTATTCCAGTTGGCTAATGAAGCAAGATGATTTCATGATATAAGGGACTGTAACAATGAAATTCTTGACTGCTTTGCCAGCTCTTCTGGTGTAAGCCACACGGTTTAAACATACAGATTGAGGGACACAGTGGGAGAGTCACTGAAAGGTGATGTGTAGCTAGGGTGCTTTTTCGGTGGACTCCACTGTCTCTTTCCTGGTTATTTCACATATGCATAATCTGAAGCTGAAAACTAGCAGCTGACTTCACATTTAGTGCATGTACTAAAGTCAGAATGAGTGAGTGTGTCTGACAATCACAAATGATGCACTTTCAATTCAGGAAGCAATTTGACTTTGTAGTTTGTTTTTTGAGGCAGGTCTTGCCGTGTAGCCCAAGCTGGCCTTGAACTTGTGATCCTCATGCCTCCCTGGCTCACGTGCTGTGATTAGAGGTGTGTACCGCTGTGCCTATCTGTTCAGAGGTTCTTGAAGAAATTAGATAAAATCTCATTGCTAGGAGGATTTGGTTTAAACTCTTCCTTGGATCTCCTTGAGATCTAAAGACTTTGAGTGGTATTATATTGCTTAATACCTACATATGTAAATGAGCAGACCTAGAACCCAAGGCCAGAATTCCCCCAGGGTTGAGGTTTTTATGGCAGCACCGTGGACAGCCAATGAGGGAGTCTGGGAGGCCAAGGACACCATGTGGAAGGACAGACAGGAGGCTGAGCTGTGATGGCAGTGGGCAGGCGGGAGCGGTGCTGTCAGAGGCGTGACTGAAGAGGAGAGCCATCTCTCACAAGCTGAGGACCGTAAAATACTCAGTGGTATAGAAGGGGAAATAGAAAGAACAGCCAGAGGAAAGGAGGCTGTTGGAGGCGCTTGAGGGGTTTCTAGAGAGTTGTGGAGGCAATTTTTATTTTGACAGGGCCTTTATACACAGAGTTTTAGGAAGCCTGCTGGCGATGCAGGTTACGAGAGAGGGCTACTGCATTCAGGCTGGACATGGGGGAAATCAGAGGTGGGAATGCATAGGAGGCATTCTGTGCCGTGCAGCGGTGCTGTGGAGACACTGGAAGGACTGGCTATTTGGTCCCCTGCCTGGCACCCCGGGGAAAGAAGGCTGCCCAGGAGGAGCCGCATGGATGGGGTGGGGCTTGGCGGGTACAAGGCTCACTGAGTGTGGCACTGCAGGCTCTGGGCCGGGGCTGGAGTTCTGCTTGGATTAGGGAACGGCTGGAATGAGGACTGAATCGAGGGGGTTGTGTACGGCGTTTGGACGATGTGCTGTGGACAGTAGGGAGCTGGCAGAGGATTTTCCAAAAAGAAGCTTTGTGCCTACCGTTTCATTTACAAGTAAAGCGCAGCTTGGGGTCTCCCGGTGTTGGTAAGGGGAGTGCACACACCGCCGGCACCGCCGCGCAGCGCCGTCTGAGGGTGTGAGCCGCGCCTGTTGTTGGGTTCCTCCTCTTCCTGCCTCTGCCTCTGAGGTACTGTGACCGTGGGTGCTCCTCAGGGCATCGCAGGCGTATGCACCTAGTTTATATTCCATGAAGCTCTTCTTGTTAGCTGGGTTATTATTGGAAGGAGTGTGTGTCATGGAGAGCCCTTCCCTCCAACCTCCTTGTGACCTGAGCAGCCAGGACGGGGACCCAGCTACATCAGGGGACCCAGGATTTAAAGTCAGCTGACAACATCCAGCCATGTGGTCATCTCCTGTTCTACCTCATAGACTTAGGGAAAAAAAGGAAATACCAGCTGAGCAGAGACCCAGGAAGAAATTAGCGTTCTTTTACACCTACAGGTGTACGGTTCTTTCCTGCTTGTTCACTTCCAGGTTCTCTGTACATGATTAAAAGAATATTCTTTTTACGCAAATCTTTGACCATACTCATCTTTAAAACCTTTCAGAAGTCACCATAGGTTGCAGACCTCAGGTGGGAGTGAAGTGTTGAACGGTTGTGTGACACCGTTTACATCACCAAACCATTTGTTCCCTGACCCAGCCTGGTGCACAGAGAAGGCAGCAGGCCTGAGCCCGGCCAGCGAATGTGGATCCTGCCCTGAGAAGTTAAGGAATGAATAGGTGCTATACAAGCCAGCCTAAGGACTGTGTGTGTGTGCGCGCGTGTGCGCAAGTACACGCGCTGGGATTGGGACTTGAACTCAGGGCTCTACCTTCTGTCTTTTAGTTTTTTCACTCAAGACTAGTATTCTACCTCTTGAGCTATAGTTCCACTTCCAGCTTTTTGGTGGTTAATTGGAATGAAGAGTCTCATAGACTTTTCTGCTTGGGCTGGCTTAGAACTGTGATGCTCAAATCTTATCCTTCTGAGTAGCTAGGATTGCAGGCATGAGTCACTGCACTGGCTAAGAATTTTTTTTTTTTTTGGTTGGTTGTGGGGTTTGAACTCAGGACCTGGGTACTGACCCTGAGCTTCGTTTGCTTGAGACTAGCACTCTACCACTTGAGCCACAGTACCATTTCTGGCTTTTTGTTAGTTTACTGGAGACAAGAGTCTCCCAAACTTTCCTGCCCAGGCTGGCTTTGAGCTATGATCCTCAGATCTCAACCTCCTGAGTAGCTAGGATTACAGGTGTGAGCCACCAGGGCCAGGCAAGAATTTGTATTTTAATGTTAATCGAGTGGGGGTAGAAATAGAGTTGTGACTTAAAGATAGAGGAGGGGGAATAATCTCAAAGTGAGGGGGCTGACTGTACTGACATGCCACTGAGGGATGGAAGGAAAACTACAGATACAAAGGTAAGGACATTGGACGTCAGAGTTGGACTGCCCAGGCAGGCTGCTTTATCTAAGCCCCAGGAAGTTTTTCAGTAAAATGGTAATAATAGTTGCCTTGCTCTGTTATTTTGATACTGAGTGAGATTCACATCAAGTACATAGTTCAGCACCCCATTCCTCTTAGCTTTTAGCCTACGTAAATGCATTCAACTAACAAATATTATTTCCTAATACTTAGATTTCACATTGTGAGACTCAGAAAACAACTGAAAACAGTAGCTGGCTGTTAATTACACATTTTCATCTCAGGCAGTTTTAAAATTTCCAGTTATTTTTTTGCATTTGAACTGGCATGTACTGAAGTAGAATAAGCCAGTTTTATTATTAAAGGTAGCAGACTTTGAAAATCACCTGCTTGAAGATACAGTGCAATTTAGACCCCAGCCAGAATGTTTTAGAAAGCTTTAGAATTAAGTGACCAAGGCATACTGTTTTTAAAGTACTTACATATATTTTCAGTTTTAAAATCAGTTACATGAAAGTTGGAAACCTTGTTAGCATTGTATAGTTTAGTCTGAATTTGTAAAGAATATGTTTGAAAATGAAGGATGCAACTTGTGTGCAGGGATGGGCAGGGGAGACTGGAGAGAGCAAAGGAAGGGGTGAACTTGTCCAGAAGGAAACACACTCAGTACCTGACATGTAAAATGATAACCTCTCTGCCCAATACCTTCATAATAACCATAAAATACACTAACAAGAGTATGCTTATGCAGGGTGCCAGTTGGTCATGCTTGTAATTCTAGCTACTCTTGGGGCTGAGATCTGAGGATTGGGGTTTGAAACTAGTCTGGGTAGAAAAATCTGCAACATTTTCTCTCCAATTAACTAGCAAAAAACTGGACTGGAGGTGTGACTCAAATAGTAGAGCACGAACTGTGAACGAAAAGGCTGAGAATATGAAGTCCCGCATTCTAGCCCATCCCACAAAAAAGAAAAGAAGCCCTGCACCGGTGGCTTACACCTA